TTCTCAAGGAAGGCCGTTGGGAAGTGAACCGGAAGTAGTATGTACGTGGAAATTAAACTAACTAAATACGGTACACCTGATACCGTTGTATGTAATGCCATTAGATTACACCACCATTCACTCTTGTTCTACTTCATCAGAATAGTTTTCCTCACCGCTGTTGCTATCGGTGTTTCTGCTTCCTTTTCGTCCGTCAGCCTCGGTCACGCGAATAACTCGCCCATCAAGTTCGATACCATCTAGCTCAGCAAGAGCAACCTTGGCATCTTCTGCATCCATCACGACAAAGCCAAATCCTCGGGATCCACCGAAATCCCTGTCCTCTGGCAGCGTGCAATCCTTCACGTCTCCATATTCTGCAAACGCATCCCGAAGAGTTTCAGCAGTAGTATCGAAATCCAGGTTTCCAACGTACAACTTGGTAGTAGAGGACGCAGTGCCAGCAGCTCCCTTGGGCTTGGCCTCATTCACACGAATTTTTCGTCCATCAACCTCAGCGCCATCAAGCTCCTGAATAGCCTTGGCTCCACCCTCAGCCGCCATGGTCACAATGGCAAATCCGCGGGAGCCGCCGTACTCTTTATCTTCCGGGAGGTAGATGGAAAACACCTTACCGTAAGCCGAGAACAAATCACGAATAGTTTTCTCGGCAGAATCGAACGAAAGACTGCCACAGTAAATCTTCATCTTGTCCATCTTATCCTCGGAAACGGTGACGCGGATTTCACGTCCGTCCACTTCCAATCCATTGAGTGCCTCGATCGCCTTGGGGGCGTCTTGCTTAAGCATTTGTGCAAAACCATATCCTCTTGAACTTCCGGTGGCAAAATCTTGATTGATAAACAAGTTCAAAACTTTACCATGTTGTTCAAACATCGCACGCATCGTCTCTTCAGTGGTTTCGAAGGACAGATTGCCAAAATAGATGCGCTCCACATCAGATTCTGAGTGAAAATGCAAATCATGGGTGAGCCATTGTTGAAGATTTCAAGAGAATTAATTAAAGTCGCTCGCCCAAAGACACTTACGAGGCGCGGCTTGTTCCGATTTTTCACCTTCGGCAAGTGGTCTTCTTGCAGCAAGACGTCGTCCTTGGAAGAAGCTCCCATCGATCTTCGCGACGGCAACATCGACCGCCTCGTCATTAGCCATGGTGATAAACCCAAAGCCTCTGTCCTTGCCATCATCGTCCTTAACAAGGTAGACACTGACAACTTCGCCGTGTTCCGCGAACAATTCCTTGAGGTCGTCCTCAGCAACACCGTAAGGAAGATTTCCAACGTAAATCTTGGGACCATCTGGGCCACGGGGACGTCTACCGGTAGTTGGCTTCTCTCTGGTTGCTTTGGTTGGAAGCTTGTCCTTTGGCAGAGAAACTCTCGCCTGAATTGCTCTACCCCCCAATTCAATGCCGTCCAACTCTTCAACAGCCTTCTCCATCTCGTCTCTGGAAGCCATTTCAATGAACGCAAAACCCCTCGAATCGGACGAATCTTTACGTCTTGGAATCGAGACATCCTTGACAGTTCCGCACTTGCTGAATAATTCCACGACGTCCTTGTCCTCAATTGCTGAATAATGCGATACGTGTGGAATAAACAGTGAGATCACATCGAATCACAAAACGCCTGGTTCAAAACGACGACGAAGACAAGAACACTTACTAAACGGGACGTTGCTGACATAAATGGTGAATTTCTCCTCTGGAGGTGTTACAACGACCTCAGCTGACGCATCAACAGCAGCCTCAACAGTTGGGGCGGCATCATCCGTGGCTTCACTAAAGACGGCAGAGAAGCTGCGGGTGCTCAAGCCAAAGGCCGATCCTCGGCCAGAGGGGATGACGAACCCTGTCGTTGACACTGACAGGGAGGCCAACAGAAGAAACACTTGTTTGTTAAACTGCATATTGAAGCCTTTAAAATGATCGAGAGAACGAAGGATTGGCTTCTTCGAGGTTTCCCAGATGGTTTCCCTATGAAACGATTCGCAAAGAAGCTTTCACTTGTCACCTGATTGTCCCTGGTGGCCAGCCCATCACTCGTTGGTGGACAACATGTACACTGACATCAGTAGGTGCATTCTGCGTACTGGTGCCAGACGAACCCCCTGTTCAACCGTACACGGGGAACTTCGTCCATACTTAGCGTTATGAATACCTGGCATACCGCTATGTAACGCCGACGCTGCAACAAGCGTGGTAATCCGAGTATAGTGCTCCCCCGTACGAGTACACTGGTCTCTACTCTCTACTAGTCTCTACTCTCTACTATGCATAGAGCCACTACGATAGCCTCCCGATGGAATAAATTCTTAACCTCCTCATTCCTCATTCAGTGTTAGTTAATCCCGTTTTTGCTCATGTGGGAAATTGTTCCTGTTATCTTGTACATCGTCCCTCGGACTCCAAACTTGGACATCGTCTCAAGAACAGTACTATGAAGGTGCATATTTCTAAGTGGCAGTAGGTCAGCGGATGTTGTCATGGAGTTATTTCACCAGTTTTTCTGCACGATTTTTTTTGCCCTCAAATTTTTCATTTCCACACAGAAATCAAGTAGAATATTTACAAAGTGTTTGACAATATTCACTACTCTGACAGATTCTGAATGAACCGTTTGAGGATGAATTCAACTTAGAGAGTTAGGATGCCAGCAGATACGTTGAAAGTGGACATTCATCGGTCGCTCAGCATCTTTGCCTCAAAGTATCATTTTGAATTGCAGAATTGAATGAACATGAACTTCAAACAAGAAGAAATGATTTTGACATTGTGCAGAACACATACCACATGTTATCCAGTTTGGATACCTTTAGTCAGAGACTGATTTGGGATGAAAAAATCAAGTATTGAGCTTCATTTCACATCAATGACTTCCACTGAATAAAGAAAAGAAAAATGGATCAAATTAATGGTGATAAGTTTTGTCATCTTTTCACATTGATGACAGCAATTGGAGGATTTTTTCTGTAGCCCGTAGCATAAAAAGTAGTATTGGAAAGCATCTTGTACCCGTACAAAAATGATGGGTTCATTCAAGGCAAGAAGTGATGGGATTAAAGGTCCGGATGGCTAGACACTAGTGAGAAGTATTACTCGTACAATGAAGTATGAACATTGCTCTACTCTGGAGTACCATTCAGGGTGAACCATTCAGGTAGAGAAATTTTACTGTGCTCGGAGTAGACGGCACATGCAGCACACCTTTAGCACCATCATTTGCTCGACCTCACAGCGGCGGAACAATGAAGGCACGCTCCTATTTACCTAAGCAAATTGGGTGAAGTTGAGAGTACATTATCATAAGTTAAGAGTTGGCAAATGATGCATGATGGGATCCATGAAAAGATATGATCCATGAATTGCAATGTGGTGGCTGGTGAGTCAAAGTCCACCCTGTATTTTTGTGTTATGCGCAACTCTAATCACCAGCAACATGGTTAAAATTCTGCCTTATGTCCAATCTGACCCTTCATTTTAGCGCTTGTGCTATCATCCTCATGATGTTATGCGCTAATGAAATCTTCTCAGATCATCAGACACTCCTTCTTTCCTTTGCCATGATCCCATTTGTTGCCCCATCGTCGGCAGCCACCCAAGGTGTCGCAGAACGAGGAGACGAAACTGATATGTGTCGGCTTTCTCGGGTGGATGCGAGGAATTGCAAGCTTGCAATCTATTTTGTTAAATCCACACACCAGTCTCAGATCATCACGGTAATGCACCCATTAAACGGCTGTTTTCCGTGCATTTTGAGAGGGAGAAAAGCTTTTACAAGGGTTCGCTCCATCAAAGTCTCAGGTCTTGAAGAATTCTAGCAATAATCGGAATACATCCATTTCCCAGCATCTCGCAGCACGCAGGCACATGGCCCTTCTGCCGATAGGATTTGTGTAATGATTTATTCTCTGCTATCCGCACTGGAGTACAGTACTACATGATGATAGAAGGGGTCTACTAACTGCTACTAGGTACTACTAAGCATAGCTAGTAGCTACCTGGGACATCCGGAATTCCTTCTTATTATGTTAGTGGGTGACACAGATATACGTAGATTAAAAACTGAAATTTCATCAATATTCAAGACTGTATATGTTCATTTTGATGTCAGAAGGGTATTGGCTAGCGTGCGAGCCAGCGTGGCATCGTGGTGAACTTATTTACGAGAAGAAATCTAATCGTGAACTTATTTACGAGAAGAATTCTTCTCGTGACTTATTTACAAGAAGAATTCTTCTCATGAACTTATTCATAAGAAGAATTCTTCTTATGAACTTATTTAAGAGAAGATTTCATCCTATCAATACACTTTCTCGTAGAAGTCTAACTTACAAACGTGAAGGTATCTAATCGTGAACTTATTTACGAGAAGAAATCTTCTCATCAACTTATTTACGAGAAGAAATCTTCTCATCAACTTATTCATGAGAAGGTTTCTAATCGTGGACTTATTTACGAGAAGAAATAACCTCCGAGCCTGCCAAGCCCCCATTTGCATTCATGACGCCAGCCAGTATCCATTGACGTTATTTATTAAGCGGTCGTGTGTCACGTGACTCAATTTGACAGCCCTAAAACTCTCCGTAAAGTGAGGTTCAAGAAGGAATTCCGGATGTCCCTGGTACAGTAGTGGAAGAGAGGTCCCCATAGTCATAAGTGGAGGGGCCCATCGTAGCGGTAACCTACTGGTAGCCGGTAGTATAGTCAAGTCGACCATTTACTGTCTATGCACATGAGCTCATGTGCTCATGTGTCATGTTGTCGTGTGTATCGTGTATCGTGTATTATGCATGAAATATGTGATTGATACCGCCCGAAAGAAATGGGCGTTCTCATGGGGGGGATTCGGAAAAGCCTCTCTTCGATACTTTTGGGATTATATGGAGTCTAAACGTATACTCAGGGATTTCCAACACCCCTTTTGGAGCACACACGTTGGTGAGGAAGAAAGAGACACAATAGTCGTTATAAATTGATTTTCATCACCAAGTGGCAGCATGTCCGCTTGGTCTAGGGGTATGATACGTCTTTAGGGTGGACGTGGTCCCGGGTTCGATTCCCGGAGCGGACCCATCTTTTTAAATGTCGCTCTTGTCTCACAAAGCCAGAATGAACGCTCTACTATTTTTTCTGCCGTAAGATGTTGTCCTCCGCGTTGCTTCGTGTGCAGTGTGTCAGGATGTGAGTTGTGAGATGCCCCTGAACAGTATGCACCGTCACGAGCGCATCGTGCAACCGGACCATCTCCCAATCTAACTATGTAATGAGCACTCCGTCCATCCCGCATCGTTCATATTCAATTCAACTCCAGCTAACGAAGGAATACTGCGAATGACATGCTACGAGCCCAACCACCGGCGAAACGTTTCATTGTGCAAGTACGAGTTCAACCACGGGCGACAAGTGAAATTGTAACGGTTGAACTAGTCGTCACACATCTCTACTGTGTCTACTGGAAGAATTGCGACAAGGCGGTCTACAAATCCGTTGATCGCCTTAGCACCCAATGATTGCGGATACTCGTCGACAAACGATTTACCCATCTCGCAGCACTTCAACAGATCCGAGTCCAGAGGAAGTTTCCCCCAATATGGCACATTATACTGTTTTGACATGCCCTCAGGACCTGCTCCAGATGCTGGGAAGACATCGCTTGAGGCCAATAAATGCAATACCTCGGGGCACTTGTCTTCGAGCTGAGCCAAAATTTCTGCAGTAACGTTCGTTCCATCAACTTGAAGAAATTCCAAATCAGAAACTTTCGTTTGATGTGTTGCCATATTTTCTATGATGCCCAAAATTGGCACCTTCGTCTTCTGACAAAAGTTCAGTTCCTTACGAACATCAGCCATGCTTACTTCCTCGGGTGTGGTAACGACAACAGCTCCCGACACCGCACTAGCCTTCTGAAGGAACTGGACGGTGGATATGTGTTCATCACTGGTTCCGGGTGGAGTATCGATAATGAGGTAGTCAAGACCACCTGTATCTCCTTCCCAATCTGTGTCTGTCATAAATTGTTGGATCAGTGCATTCTTACGCGGGCCCCTCCACACCACGGCAGCATCAGGGTCCGAGAGCCAAAACGAGATAGACATGACAGCTAAGTTAGGACTCGCATAGACTGGAGTCCAGGCACCCGAGCCCGATCGATGAACTACAGCCCCTTGGTGGGCCACCCCCGCCATGCGTGGAGCAGACGGCCCACAGAGGTCAACATCCAACAATCCAACCGCATACCCTCTGGAGGCTAGGGCATGACTCATCTGAGCTGCCAAGGTGCTCTTTCCAACTCCACCCTTCCCTGACAGGACCAGAACCACGTGAGAAACATTTTGAAATGCTCGTTCCAATGCTTCTCGTTCTTGTTGCTCTTTTTGTGTAGCCTCCGGCGAGTTGAACTGCCCAGACGCACAGACTGTTTGATTGGGACAACCCTCGCAAGCGCTTGCTTTTCCAGCCGATTCTGCGGCTGGGCCCACACAACCTTCGTTGGCGTCAGTTGGAATGCTTGAATCTGATTCTGTCATGTTGGCGCAGTCGTTAGGCGACGCTCTCTTTCTAATGGAATCGAATGAGAATACTGGTAACGTACACTTGTGTTGATGGCAGCAACAAAAGAGACCGCAGGAACGAGGTGGAACAAACATCCTGAAGGTCCCGGACAGTATCAGGTACTCTACTAGTAGTACCTGGTAAAAGTACTACTGTTAACCTCCGGTCACGAGTCAGACGCGCCTGCTCTGCTTCTACGATCATTTGTACTCGGAGTACTCCGGTATTTTTTTAGAAGCTACGAGTACTGCTACTGTAGTACTTCAGTAGGAGAAATCTGTGTTTAGCCGAGCATGACGACCGGACCTCGCTTGCTGCTTGCTGCAAGGGGGTGAAACAAGGGGGAGTATTCTACGGTTTTCTGGCGCTGCCTACTGTACTGTTGGGCTGGCACACTGTCCTGCTGCTAAGTCGTTCAAGGACTCTAATACATGAGCTTTTGCACATGCTCCTCCGTCACCCTTCACATTATTCACCCGACTGCAACAGCCATTGCAGCAATATCACGCGTTTCATCCCAAGGCTACATATTGTAGAGACACGAAGACTCAGTGTTCTATAGATGTAGTTGAAACTGAAATTCTGCCTCCAAGATCTTACTAGTAGTGACCGGACTTGTTCACCATTCATCCTTCTGACTTTTGTTGCCACCACAATGTCATCTATTGCAGACAAGACAACGCTATTCACATGGTGGGTCTTTAATACCTTCACAAGGCATGGTGAGTGAAGGCACATAATTGTCAAAGTTCTGCTGCATTCATCATTGATGAAGTGCTAGCTAGTAGTATGCACAAATGTATAATCATGCCTGTTGTGAAAAGCTTTTGCACCGTTGCTGTTGCTAGAATATCTCTGCTTGTACATTCATTTACTAATGCCTTGAAAGACGTCTTTCCTTTTAAGAATCCAAGGTCATTTGATGGTGCGTGCTCTTGGACACTCCCCAACTGTAGATATTCAATTCGTTTGCCAGCAATTTCTTCGGAATGGAATTTGGAGAGTACATCAACACCAAATTCTTGTGTAACCTGCTGAAATGCTGTCATCTCTTCAGAAAAGTCCAGATACCAGGCCATGAAATACTTCATGCTTCAGTCCACTGCACACTCCACAACAACTTTGCCATCATTGTTGTCCTTTGCAAGATCCATCGAGGAATAGATTTTTCTCACTAGCACGGCCCTTGTCAATCCATCCCGCTCCCACAGGGCTTGCATAAGACCTTGGGGCGGACCGATACAACCTTTCCTCTCTTGTGTTCTCTCTGCTTTGGGATCCAAATAATTGTTTGTTCTAATCTCTTGCGATTCTGCCAGGCAATATTGCTTGGCGACGGTTGAAATAATGAGCGGGATAGTATGCTCAGCTCTGAGTTCGGCGATTTATTCAATCTTTGCGGGATGCCTGCTGGAGAAAGAGGAAATATGTGATCTTGGTGTTTTTTTCTCTTGTGGTGACATCCAGAATGACAGGCCATCATCTTCAGATTTAGCAAAGATGAAAGAAGACTTCGTGTCACCACATCAGAAGGCCGTTTTTGTTAACTATTTTCTTTGGTGTTAAGTGTTACCATTTTTTTATCAGTTAGATTTTACTTATTAACAGAAATGGTAACTTGAACAATAAAATACTACTTCTATTATATATTGTAAGTTTGGATAATTTATCTCAAAATAAAGCACGCTTTAGTTACCATTTATTTTTACTCAAGTCAACGATATATATTGTAATTATGCAATTCATGTTAAGTCATAGTTACATTTTATGTTGATTAATTGATTAGGTTATTCATCTTAATACAACAGATATTGTTCATACGAAAGTCATTCTATTGCATTTTAAAGTGGATGGCAGTAAAACAAACTCCTAGTCGTCATCAGAGTCCCATTCTGCCTCAACATTCTCCATTGCCCGTGCCGCTGCATTGTTGTGAGCACCGTCTAGGTTTGCGTTATCCTGTGGGTCCTTTATTCCGGCCTTTGTCCGGCAGAAATCCATCAGCAACTTTTCCATCCGTTTCGGCTCGTCGTCACAATTCTTGTCAGCCTCCCTGTCTGCTTTCACTAACTTGCGAAGAAAATTGAACTGTTTGATGCCTTCGGGACTCCAGCCACCCCACTTACACTGTCCTTGAGCTTTTCCAGTGTATTTACCGGCTGTCTTTGTTTGTTTCCTTCTCGTGATCTCCTCACCTTCAGTCGCAATTGCAGCTGCGCCACCTGCTACCGAGTCGATGCGGGCTGCGACTTCTTCACCAGCCCTGGTTTTCCACTTTTCCAAGTAATTGTCAATTAACAACAACGCAAATGCTTCATCACTCACACTGACAATTTTTGATCCACTGGGGTCTCTCGCCTCCGAAACGAGCTGCTTTGTTTTCGCATTATTCCATGCGGTAGCCCCGCAAACACACTCAAAAAACTGTCGAAGAACCAGAGAAACGCTTTCCTCTCTCTTTCGGTAGTCGCTCGTCTTAGCTTGCAGAATTCATCAAAAGTGAAGAATTCCTCTTCACGATTCTTGAACACTGTATTGATAGCTTTGACCACAATCTTTTGCCAGACAACTCACGTACTTCGCTTCTGATTCAAGGCCGTCTTGAACGAATTCTGGTACGTCAACTGAAATATGTATGGATTCCGTGGCCTTTCCTCCGCCAGCACCTTTTGAAAAGCTTCGTTAAATGACTTGGTACTGGTAACGAATTTGATCTGACGGAAGAGTGTGTTTTTAACAAACAAAACAATCCTCCGTACAACATTCTTCTGTGCTGTTGGAGCTTCCAACGGCATCCTGCTAACAATTTCCCTGGAATCAGCTCGCCGGTGGTGGAGGTGGCGTACCGTGTTCCTCGCTGTTGCTTGTCCTCAGAGGATTCACTGCGCCTGCCTGGGCACGTCTCGACTCTTCAGTAGCTTCGCGGGCACCGCGCCTACCTTCCTCCGGCGATGCCAATGGGTCGTCGTCAAGGTATGAGTTTGCTGAAACGTAAGAATCAATTTCTGCCCCGTCATCATTATTGTCGTCGTCATCAGCCTGGTCGTCGTCGTCGTCATCATCAGCCTCGTCTTCAGCGCCATCGGTGGGTTCAAAACAAGAATCATCATCCGCCGACTCAATGTTGCCAGAATCTGACGAGGTGTTATGCACTTTTGTTGTTTTCGTTTTTTTGGACTCCTTTGTTTTTTTCTGTCTATATTTCCTCTTGTTCCCCGCGCCAACAACTCGTTTCCGTTGCGTAAACGCTGCTGCAGCAGCTTCCGCTGCCTCTGCTGCTGCAGCAGCTTCCGCTGCTTTAGCTGCCTTAGCTGCCTTAGCTGCCTCAGCAGCCTCAGCTGCCTTAGCTGCCTTAGCTGCCTTAGCTGCTTTAGCTGCACGTCTTTCAGCCTTCTTCGTCTCTGCCTCTCTCCTTGCGGCACGCTCCAACGGTGTTTCGCGAACGGGTGTTTGGTCAGCTGGTGGTTCGCGAATGCGTCGCGAAGAACTCCGAAGGTTCTGAGATGGCGATGCTAG